AATTAAGAAGAAATTCAGATAAAGAAGAATGCACTACAACAACTTAGATATATTTCCATTGTGCCTCCTTGTGCACCTGAGAGGAGTGATGAACAGATAGTTCTGCTTCTTCCATCTCTATGCAGTTTATGACCGGCTGTTCCAAGTTCAGTGGGATTGTGCTTTCTATAGAGTTATATAGTGAAACTTGCAGTCAATCATGATTCAAATCATATTTTACATATTGATAAACCCAGCATGATAGAAAGATTGTTGAAAATGAAATGCAGTAGGTAATTTCCAGCTGTTGTAAGTAAACAAAGAGTATGAAGCAATACAGGAGAGGGCGTACATACACATCCTATTTATATGAGTATATAAACAACTTCATTCAGGTGTGGATATTTTACGAATTTCCTTGAATTAGTATGGAATGCATAAAAGCCACAAATTTGTCATTTTAAAAGAAGTAATTATCTATAAATAAACGTATAATTACTACTCTTTATTTAAATTAGCTGCTGATTTGGGGGACTTCAGCGCCTCCGCTTCCAAGAATGAGAAGCTGGGATTTCACAAGGCAACAAGGCAGCATCCACTCAGCAAAACCACCCAGATTTCTACAAAGCTCTAGCTAGCTGCCTGCTCATTAATGGGATCAGTATATGCATGACAAAATACCTATTTAGAAAATTCAAAGACATCTTAGGATTTGAAGATCTGCCTGTAAAGTGCTCTTTTTTTGAATTTTCAGACTGTAACAGAGAGACTTTAAAAAGGAGTGGTTGAATTTTTGATCCAGTCAGACTGTAAACTCAGACTATAATTTACCTCATTTGAATCCACTGGCAAATAAACAATTCCTTTACCTGAATCTGGAAGCAATTATCCCAACAACAACCTTCAGAACTTTCTTGTAATTGGTCTGGATTTGATTTTCTTTGAGATTTAAATGATTCATACTACAGACTTGTAAGTTAGTCATTCACAATTTATAAATGGCAATTTAGCTTTAGTATTTATGAATTGTGATCAATACTCCAGTAATCACAACACTCACCCCTTTTCTATTTCAATACTTCGAATTTCTTTTATGTTCTTAACTCTTTCCCAGCATCACTGGATCCAAATGAAACCACCCATGGCTTGTGGATGTTTGTGCAAATTGGTCAGAAGAAATCTCTGAGCTTAGGATCTGTAGTTGAAGATTTAAATATACAAGGAGTTGTGTGTGTCTGTGTGTGTGTGTGTGTGTGAGAGAGAGAGAGAGAGAAAGAGAGAGAGAGAGAGAGAATAACAATCATGTATTTTGATTTGCAAAAATCTCATATATCTCTTGGGCAGTATCATGACTGATAGCTGGAATTCCCATTGATCGCCTTCCTATCTTATGGCTCAGCTTCTGTGTATAGGAGCTTTGGTAAAATGTGCTTATGGGCGGTTAGTGTTCAAGAGAGAACATTCAAATTGCCATGTGGAATTTTAAGAACAAGAGCGAGGTGGAACGAACCACCCAAACTCTGTTTTTGGTGGATGCCTGCTTTACATTGAACCTGGGCTCAGAGGGGTTTCCAGGAAGGGTAGATCTCCTGAGAATTATTCAGCCAGGTTTGAGTTTTCACAGGCTGTAAAGCAAGCCCTGACAGCGAGCACTACTCCTTAAAAGAAAGAGGGTTTCCTCTCGGGAGACTCTGCCTCTCTTCCACTGAGCTCCAGCTTTTCTTCTGAAACACTTTCATAATCAAGTGACTTCCCTGGCATGGATGCCTGGGGACAGCTGATTTTTCTCCAAGGATGAAGAAAGTTACATATTGATTGCTGTTGCTCTCAGCGTGTTTGCATCAGTGCGGACAGGAGCCGGGCGTGCGTGTTCTCGCATCCATGCATTCACATTCACATTCACGCCCCGAAATACACATCACACCCCGCGAACACGCGCGCGGGCACACACACACACACACACACACACACACACACACACACACACCTCATTCAGATGGGTCCACGCGGAGCCAGACGATCTGCATCTCCCTTGGCATGGGCGTGTGTACAATAATGGTGCGTGTGCGTGTGTGCTTGTGTGTGTGTGTGTGTGTGTGTGTGTGTCGAGAAACCCACCAGAAAGACTGCAGCTGTCTTATTTTGCAAACATGCTGCGACGCCCGTTTCTATGTATACCAGGCATTAAAAAATGAAATCGCTGTCAAACTCAAATATATATATTCCCCTTTTTTTCTAGGAAAGACTATGGAGCAGGCGCTCCTGTTAGTTAAAGGCCTGGGAAGACCTGTGGTGTGGCCGGGGACACCGCCGCCACTGCTGGGTGCAGGGCTCCACTAGCAGCGGTCCTCTCCAACCAACTGATCTAATCAATGACTCCGAAAAGCTGGGGCTCCTGGCCCCACCCCCGCCAGCCTCTTCTCCGCCTCCCATTGGACGTGAGCCGAGGAGGCCGGGCCTTCCTCCTCTCGCGGATTGGCTGGCAGGGAATCCGTATCAATGTTTAAGCGGCGGCGTGAGGTGAATAGAGTCAGTCAGCAAGAGGCGCTGGGGAGAGAGCGGGGACGGCGAGCCTGCCGGGCGGATGCGGCAGCGGCCGCGGCGGAGGGCGGCTGGGGAGACGCTACTCCAACTGTTGAATTGAATTTTCACCTTTCATTCCCTCCGGAGCTTGGCTTGCGGACATGGATTTATTTGCTTCGAAACCGGCACGTCTCTCGCAGACCGTGGGCTGAGCCAGGCACGCAGCCGATTGACAGAGACCACCCGCGACAGAACGGGAGGAAAAGGGGGGGCAAAAAGAACACCCTCTGCTCCGCGGGCGGCACAATGAACTATGCGCCTCGGGGCTGGACTTTGTGAACAAGGAGCGTTGGGAGGAGAACCTTGAACTGTAATGCGGGACTAAGCTGTGGACACTTGCTGGAAACCGAATTTCGCCCCCAAGGCTCTGAGACAGATGGGGGTGCCTCACGCCTAAGGAAGGGGAATTTCTTCTTTCTTTCTTAAGACAAAACCAACCAAAATAACAATAAATACACCTAGCAGAGCAGACGTCTGGTTTTCCAGATCCGGGGAATCCGGCAGAAAGAGGTAGAGTAAAAGTCCTGCTGGATTCAGCTTCACTCCCTCTCCCTCCCTTTTTTTTTGCCCCCTCCCCCCAAAAAAACATGCATTTGATTTTTCTTTCTCTAGAGTGAGTCAGAGAAAGCGTTAGGGAGAAGCCGCAACTCCTGTCTGTGAAGGCAGGACGAGCAGTGGGGAGTGAACGCGATTCGTTCCGCCGCCTCTGACTCATCCGGGCAGCCCGGAACACCTGCATTTCTGGATGTGTCATCCCCGGGTGTCCAGGAGCCTGCAGAACCCGAAATAATGTCCAGACAACAGACCCGCGTCTAACAGCCCCCCTTGGAGGTAACCCCCGAGGTGGGCGGCCCTGGCTGGACCGCCGCGGCCGCAGCTCCTCGCCCCTTGCCCTCCCCGGGCTGCTCCGAGAGACTGCGAGAGCCAGACTGCAGACTGCATCTCGCCAAACCTCGATGTGTGTTCCTTTCCTCCAGCTTAATCCTTCTACTATTAAAAAAAAAGAATCGAAAGAAAAAAAATACACCGCACTTTATTCGCTTCAAATATTCACCACTTTTATTTCTCGCCAAGGTTTTCCTTTCTAGATGAAGAGGACTGGGAGGCAGGGCCATTGGAAGGAGATGCTGAATAGAAAGAAAAGGGAGGCACTTGACAGCCCAGCCCTGTGAATGCAGAGACTGTTTCCCTTCTAGCGGGAGACAGGGCGAGTGTGTGTGCGAGGACTGCGAGGGGGGCTCCCCCTGCCTTTGAATTCCGCCTCTCCCCCCCCCTCCCGACCGGCACGTCCAACCAGGAGTTGCCTGTTGATTTCCTTTCGCCTGCGAAGCAAACTAGAATTAAACTGCGACCAGAGAAGTCCTTGCTCCCGGGGTGAGAGGATGGGATGGTAGCGGTGGCGACTGGCTTGGCGTAGAGAAATCACCGAGAGCGGGCACTACGAACAGGGGAGGAGATCTCTTTCTGTGTATATATATATATATATATTTATGTATATATGTTTTGGTTTGTTTTTATTTTTTGTGGTTTTTTTCCCTCCTCCCAATTGACTCACCCTACTAACGCTGATCAGACTGTGTGGCTTTCTGGAATTCGAGAGAGCCTTTTCCGAGGAAGAGAGGGAGGAGCCTGGTGGAGGGAGGAAACTACAAATCGGGACACTAGTTCTTGGCGCTGCATTTCCTCCCCTCCCTTTGGCTGCTCGGCAGGGAGAGAGAGAAATACGCTTGGCTGGGAGATGCAGTCCGCTGCCGCCGCCGCCTCAGCCAGCAATGCAAGATTAGATCTCTAAATGCAGCAAAGCCCTGCCTGAAAACAGACCAGCCCGCGCAGCGCGCAGACATTTCACAAGGCGCTGGGGAAGCTGCAAAATCTCACCGGGACTCTCTTCGAGGCTCCGCGTCCCCGTCAATTTCATCACGAGAGACGAGTAACAAGTAAGGATTTCACTTTCCGATCTGCCTGGAGACACACCTCCCCGCTCCCTCCCTCCTTCCAAGTGCCGAGTATTCCCGAGGCTGCGGGGCGGGAGTGGATTGGCCGTGACTGAGCGGGGGCTAGGGAAACCTACGGCTTCCCGAGCTCATTATCATCCCTCCCAGACTCGATTTCCTTCGTGTCGCCAGCCTCAGCCGTTAAGTTTCTGCTGCCCGGAGTCCGGGCCAGAGAGACAAAGCCTGGGGCTGGCCCCCCCAGCAGCCCGGGAGCCGCCGGCTGGCTCCGCGTCCCTGCGGCTCCACCAGGCTACTGCTCCTCGCCCAGTGCAGATGCTGTAGATCAACAGGTTCGAGAACTTGAGCGGAATCCGGAGAGCCCGCCGGGTACCGCAGCCCGAGCGCGGAGGGAAGAGAGGACTGACGACGCCCCGGCTCCCGGCTTGCGTCTCCCGCGCGCGCGGCGCTGGGGCCCCAGACTGGCGCGCACCCACCGGCTCGCCCCTCCAGTCCGCCTGCTCCGGCCCCCACTCCACCGGTCTGGGATGTACCTCTCCATCTGTTGCTGCTTCCTCCTGTGGGCCCCTGTCCTGACGCTCAAAAATCTCAACTACTCGGTGCCGGAGGAGCAAGGTGCCGGCACAGTGATCGGCAACATCGGCAAAGATGCTCGGCTCCAGCCAGGGCTTCTGCCTGCAGAGCGCGGCGGCGGCGGCGGCGGGCGCAGCAAGTCGGGCAGTTACCGGGTGCTGGAAAACTCGGCGCCACATCTGCTGGACGTGGACGCCGACAGCGGGCTTCTCTACACCAAGCAGCGAATCGACCGCGAGTCCCTGTGCCGCCACAACGCCAAGTGCCAGCTGTCCCTTGAGGTGTTCGCCAACGACAAGGAGATCTGCATGATCAAGGTGGAGATCCAGGACATCAACGACAATGCGCCTTCCTTCCCCTCCGACCAGATCGAAATGGACATCTCGGAGAACGCAGCGCCTGGCACGCGCTTCCCCCTCACCAGCGCGCACGACCCCGACGCGGGCGAGAACGGGCTCCGCACTTACTTGCTCACCCGCGACGACCACGGCCTCTTCGCGCTAGATGTCAAATCCCGCGGCGACGGCACCAAGTTTCCCGAGTTGGTCATCCAGAAGGCCCTGGACCGCGAGCAGCAGAACCATCACACGCTGGTCCTGACGGCCCTGGATGGAGGTGAGCCCCCGCGCTCGGCCACCGTGCAGATCAACGTCAAAGTGATCGACTCGAACGACAACAGCCCTGTCTTCGAAGCGCCCTCCTACCTGGTGGAGCTGCCCGAGAACGCCCCTCTGGGCACCGTGGTCATCGATCTGAACGCCACCGACGCCGACGAGGGTCCCAACGGCGAAGTGCTCTATTCCTTCAGCAGCTACGTGCCCGACCGCGTGCGGGAGCTCTTCTCCATCGACCCCAAGAGCGGGCTGATCCGTGTCAAGGGCAACCTGGACTACGAAGAAAACGGGATGCTGGAGATTGACGTCCAGGCCCGAGACTTGGGACCCAACCCCATCCCTGCCCACTGCAAGGTCACGGTCAAGCTCATCGACCGCAATGACAACGCGCCGTCCATCGGTTTTGTTTCCGTGCGCCAGGGGGCGCTGAGCGAGGCCGCCCCGCCAGGCACTGTCATCGCCCTGGTGCGGGTCACCGACCGCGACTCAGGCAAGAACGGGCAGCTGCAGTGCCGCGTGCTGGGCGGAGGGGGCACGGGCGGCGGGGGCCTGGGCGGGCCTGGGGGCGCGGTGCCCTTCAAGCTCGAGGAGAATTATGACAATTTCTACACGGTGGTGACTGACCGCCCGCTGGACCGCGAGACGCAGGACGAATACAACGTGACCATCGTGGCACGCGACGGTGGTTCGCCCCCACTCAACTCCACCAAGTCATTCGCAGTCAAGATCCTGGACGAGAATGACAACCCGCCTCGTTTCACTAAGGGGCTCTATGTGCTGCAGGTTCACGAAAACAACATCCCTGGAGAGTACCTGGGCTCTGTGCTCGCCCAGGACCCGGACTTGGGACAAAACGGCACCGTGTCCTACTCCATCCTGCCCTCGCACATTGGCGACGTGTCCATCTACACCTACGTGTCTGTGAACCCCACCAACGGGGCCATCTACGCCCTGCGCTCCTTTAACTATGAGCAGACCAAGGCTTTTGAGTTCAAGGTGCTGGCGAAGGACTCAGGGGCGCCCGCGCACTTGGAGAGCAATGCCACCGTGAGGGTGACGGTGCTGGACGTGAATGACAACGCGCCGGTGATCGTGCTGCCCACGCTGCAGAATGACACCGCCGAGCTGCAGGTGCCCCGCAATGCCGGCCTGGGCTACCTGGTGAGCACCGTGCGCGCCCTCGACAGCGACTTTGGCGAGAGCGGGCGCCTCACCTACGAAATCGTGGACGGCAATGACGACCACCTGTTTGAGATCGACCCGTCCAGTGGCGAAATCCGCACGCTGCACCCCTTCTGGGAGGACGTGACACCCGTGGTGGAGCTGGTGGTGAAGGTGACAGACCATGGCAAGCCCACCCTCTCTGCGGTGGCAAAGCTCATCATCCGCTCAGTGAGCGGCTCCCTCCCTGAGGGAGTGCCCCGGGTGAATGGCGAGCAGCACCACTGGGACGTGTCGCTGCCGCTCATAGTGACTCTGAGCACGATCTCCATCATCCTCCTAGCGGCCATGATCACCATCGCCGTCAAATGCAAGCGCGAGAACAAGGAGATCCGCACTTACAACTGCCGCATCGCGGAGTACAGCCACCCGCAGCTGGGCGGGGGCAAGGGCAAGAAGAAGAAGATCAATAAAAATGATATCATGCTGGTGCAGAGCGAGGTGGAGGAGAGGAACGCCATGAACGTCATGAACGTGGTGAGCAGCCCCTCCCTGGCCACCTCCCCCATGTACTTCGACTACCAGACCCGCCTGCCCCTCAGCTCGCCCCGGTCGGAGGTGATGTATCTCAAACCAGCTTCCAACAACCTGACTGTCCCGCAGGGTCACGCGGGCTGCCACACCAGCTTCACAGGACAAGGGACTAATGCGAGCGAGACCCCCGCCACTCGGATGTCCATAATTCAGGTAGGAGACTTTTAGCGTAACTGGGACTTCACTTTAGTACTGTGTTTGCAGCTTTCCTGAAACCCTTGTTAACAGGGCAACCCACACTGCCAGTAGCAGTGACAGGAGGGTTTTTTGGCTTTTTAATGGAAATGGTTTATACTTTTGACACTGACAGCTTGTACATTGTGTTCTATACATAACCCATCCTATGTGAATAGTTTAAACGCTGCAAGATGTAAATGACTTGCTTCTGTTGCATTTTTAAAGTTTATTTTTATAGGTTTTAAAATTTTAGGGAAGCCTTTAGTTTTCATAGTTCCTTTAAAATTTCAGTTCTAAGATTACTAGTCTGCATTTCATTCCATAATAAAAGGTTTCCAGAATAGAAAACTTTTCTTGTTGTAGTTAAGGAGGCTGCAATTTGAAAACAAATAATTAAAAACAAACAAAACAAAACCCTCAATGCCAAAATTCAACCAAGGCATAGAGACGCATTAAGAAAGTTATGTTCGTGGGGCACAAAGAAACAACTGTCAGAGTCTCAGAGCTGGAGTCAAATCCAACTAAGTTTTCAAAGATAAAATTCAGTTTTATGTTTTAAATGTGTTGTGAGGAACACCCATTCCGTTTATTCTTCAGCACAAATTGCAGTGTAATGCAATAGTTTAGCTTAAACTTTTGCAATGTCAGCTGTACTCGAAAGTGATTTAAAAATGTTTGAATGGATGCTGGCTCTGCATCATGGCTAGTGAGAACCTGTGGAAGTGTGTATCTGCTGACTTGTCCCCTGTGGTTTCCTCCGTCAGGTTCATATACCCCTTGAAGAATGAACAGAGTGTACCAGAAGGGTCACAGACTCACTTCATACTTTTAAAATGAGAAGTGAAGTCCATTAAGGGAAGTAGATGTGCCAAAAAGCATACTGTGTATTTTCAGTGTACCTAAATTATATTTAATGAAGCTAGCTCCCTTAATTCAAAATTATTTATACATTTCAAAAACTAAGTCACTGTCCTGGCATGCGTATAGATTCTAATAACAGTAGGTGACTGTATTATGTCTAATCACTGCGAGTTTCTTTTACCCACTATTGAGTTGTGTTGTACATACACCCAATCCCCACCTCACGCACCCACACACCCCGCGCACACTTAATTCTTGCTCATTATGAATATGTGTTGCTACAAATTACTCAGGATGAACAGTACTTGAAATTCAAAACTGAGCTTAACTAAAAGTGACATGTAGGAAGCAAGATTAGATTGAGGCAAATGAAAATAATTTGTTTATAATTTCATGCTTTGTAAAGCAAATACCCTTTCATGACACTTGACTCCTTAACATTTTCATTGTTGAAATGAAGTAATAATATCTCCTAGCTAATCTTATCTTTTCTAATATTTTATATGGGTAATGAGCTCTAATAATAGTAGCGGGATTTTCCTTTAATAATAGAATATTCTTGTAAAACAGAATCTTGTGCTTGATGCTGCTGAGTACTGAAGTATCTATTGCACTATTAAATTCCAATGGCTAAACACAGTTTTCTTTTCTAGTGCTTCCTGTATACTAATAATTATGGTTTTTTCAGGTCTATATAAAACTGAAAAACAGAAGAAGAAATTTCTCCCTTAAAATGTGGTTTCTATGAAAATCTTTCTGTGTCTGTGAAATTGGTATTTTTGATCATCAACATTTCTACACAGAGAAACGTTAAAATATCTCTTTGTAGACATCTGTTTTAGTTGTTTTATGAGCCCAAGTACTGCTATATATCTTTCTTTTATTTTTATCTTTGGTGATTTCAAAGATGTCATAGAAAGGTAATGTCTAATCATCCAGTTCATGTACTTCGAGTTGAATTATTATTTACATTTTTATTAAAAATGTGATTAGTGTAGAAGAATTCCAAGCAAGTCTGATTCCTGGGCCAAACTAGGTAGGCATACTTTTGGACTACAGTATCTGAAAGTTTTAGGGGACAGGAATCACGGTACTGCATCTTCACCCTGCAGTCCCTGAGACTGAGTTTTCCTAGAAGAATGGTGATTACAATCACCATCATGATCCCTCTCATTCCTTCATTAGCACTAACACTTAAGCCAAAGTAAATGACACACCTCATCCCCTCTCTTTTTAATAGCAAACAAGGGCAGAGCTTGTAGAACCACCCCTCAATTCTCTTTCTTGCACAATTTTAATTCATGCTATGGATTCACAGAATGAGCTTGGGTCTTAAATCTCTAAAATTATTGTTCAAAGTGTCTCAAATGTTGTTTCTGCCCTGGAAATGTCCTCAATATAAACTTAAGTCAAGTTTTATTTCCTACTGAAATTTGTCTGTTCTGAGGATGCTTTCTGAATTCCTAACATGCTAATTTCCTTTTAAATGGATATCTCAGTACCTTTTGGAGAGTAAAGGAAATTAACCACAATGACTCTCCTTCTTTAAATACAGATAACTAGTGTGCTGCAAATGTTTTATTTGAAGTGTCATGCTTACGCATGCTTAACTGAAAGCATTCAAGTATCCTATATTCTTGTTTCAAAAGCATCTGTTAGTGGATGTAGTTAGCACAGACTTCTGAGAAAATAAATTTCATATGTATTTCTGAGTGAGAATTTTGATTCTCAAAGTTCATTTGGCCTACCAGGTACTAGATATAACTCTTTGCTTTCAAGCATCTTGTTTACAAGATGCACAATATCTTTAAACTGATAAAATGAGAAGCATTTCATAATTTGTTTCTTTGAGATACATGGACATACAGTGGTGACAAGAGATTTAGTAACTGCATGATTTAAAATGATCATTTTACAGCTCGAATTCAGATTTGTCTATGTAGCAATGTGTTTTGTCTGGTACAAAAGGCATAAAGCATTAAGGTTAAATATGTAAAATATGTAAAATTCTTCTTGAGTATTTTTATTGAATATGGGCACAGAATAATGACAATAAACTGGTGTTAAAAAAGTGGTTTGTGGGGAAAAGATATTGCAGATTTTTTTCATTCCCCAATGAAGTTGAAGTTTGTCTATGAAGTGTTCGAACAATAGAATAGTTATTAAAATAATCACAATCATGTCAATCACAATACAAAGTAATTAGAAGTGAATCTTTTATACATTTTAAAGCTATAGAAATCAATTTCAAAGAATATGAGTCCAGAGGTAAGGCAAATAGTTTATTACACAAATTTATAGCAGAAGGTCCCATAGAAGAAATTTACATATGAATTATTTAGCACATCAATATTAGAGTCTGATATCAAACAGAGATCATGACTTCTGCTGAAGAAGAATTGGTAATGGTTGGTAGACCAAGAATTTTTTTGTAAAATCTCAGAGTATCTCAACAGGTGGTTTCAGCAAAGGTCCTCTTTGTAAAGAAGAAGGAAGCCTGGGGTCCTTCCTCACTGGTGGAAGAATTTCCAGGTTGATCAGACATCTCTGCTTTCAGATATCTTTTAATAGTACTACTATATGTTGCTTTAACATGAACTCAGAATAAAACATTGAGCTAGAAGAAGAAAAACCACTAAAGTAAAAGTTTACAGGAAATATATTTTAATTCAGTATTTTACAGTTCAATTTAAAGATCACATTACAGTTGACTTTAGAAGCAAGGAAGATAGAACACCTTTTTTTGATGTACGTGGATGGCCTTTTCAATTAAAGGACATTGAGTACACTGCAAATGCCAAGAGCCAGTCAAAATACACAAAAAGTGAGACTGAGGCCCCAGAGGACCAAAGTATCATAATGTAAATAGTAAATTCAACATTGAAGAGTGAAAGGGCGAAAGGAAAGTGTATATTTTAGGACCAACATTATCCATTGTCTGCCCTTATTCCTGCCTCTCTAATATAAGGAACCCTTGGTAACAGACACTCATAAGTTCCCATTATCATGATCTTCAAAACGTTTCACTCCAAGATGCTTCCTATTTCAGAACATCTGAATCTATCTCTTCATTGGCGATTTTGGGAATATTCTGTTGCACTGTTGTTCATAAAACGCATCTTTTGATGAGGTACACGCATTAGTTTCGGCTTTATAGATGTGCATGATTATTCATGAGGGGTTGCTGGACTGTGTAAAGGGACTGTCTGTCATGAAGGTGCTTTCCAGGCGTGTTCTGTCCATTGGTATTTTTTTCATAAAGATTGGTTTAGTTTAAGGATTTTTAAATGGAGCTGAAGGAGGTTGGATGCTACTTTGAGTGAATTTGAGTGCACAGTCATTAAAACATTTCTTTCAGTTTCATCATTAAACTAGCACAAGTAAACCAGATATGCATACTTTTGAAAAGAATTGGGCGTTCAGGTGCTTGGAATTCCTTTGGTTAAGTGTTTACACCCAGATTATTATGATTTCAGTTTTTGTTTTTATTACTAGATTTATGTTTCTCTGACAATCTCAACTCCAGCACAAATCTGTGTGCACTTTTCTGTTTCACAATAAATTAATACCAGAGATCAAAAATGATTTATTTTAATACTTGTTGATTTAGTAATGATTTATAAGATAATTAGATCTTTGTCTATTAGCTTTGACTTCTAATAAAGTTCTTAGATAGCACGTAGAAAGTGCTTTAGCATCCTTGCATGGAGATGATAACCCATTTGTCACCAAAAAAAAAAGTCATAGAACTGACATTTTTTAATTTTGCTTAGTGAATTCTATAATTCAAATAAATATATATAAGTTTCCATGTAGGATTTTGAAATTTTGTTGTTTAAAGAATCATTTAAAGATTTGCGCAATCACTAAAGAATTTAAATCATAACACAGTATGCACTAAAATGATTGCACTTCCCTGAACACATTGCTTAAGTCAAGAAAAGATATTTACATAATCTAAAATATTATCTACCAACTGACTGTATTATTGAAGCTGTGCAAAAGTGCATAGTTTTCAGAAATGTTTCTTCATAAAGTTCAATACATTATAGATATTATTTTAAATGTTGCAATATATTATTGCAGTTTTGTAAAATGAGGACAAATTAAATTAA